ATTTTCACGAAAAAATTTCGACGTTTTCTTCCAATAAAATTAGTCTAATTTAACTTTTTTCAAAAACATTTTAGTTTAACTAATAGAGGTATTAATTTATAAAACAAGCCCAGAAACAGTTTAATCGATTTATTAGATTTTTCTCTATCGTGTACACAAACTAAAAAAAACTGTTTTTACTAATAAAGAGTGGGAATGTAAAAAAATAGTGATAATTGAAAAAAATGTAAAAATGCTGTCACCTCATAACCATATTTTCTAATATAAACAGTTGTATAAGTTATATGTACGAAATGAAATGTTCCCACTCTTCAAAATACGTGCACAAACAATAATGTACCGTTGAAACTGAGATTGAAAGCCTGTAAAAAAAATGTGGGCTTCGAAGAAATCGTGTAAAATATTTTCCACAAAAATATACACACAGGCTGATGTCATTTCGTTAGACAAAGACAGATAGAGGAAAAACAAAATTAGAAATGTTGACATTAAAGTTTGCGGAACAGATGTTTATTTGCTCCACGCATGACTTTCTCGAGGCTGTAACTCGAAAAGTACTTTGAATTTTGGCCTAAAATTTTAAAAGGATATTCTCAGATAGTGCTACTATCGATTAAGACAACTTCTTGAAATTCGATTTTTTAGACCCTATAAACCAGGTTCTCTTCCTTAAGATATCAACCTGAAATTGAGCACATAACATATATTCCAGAAAGGTGATAAAAGAATAAAAGTGTTAAAAGATAGTAAAATTAAGAAAAAGTTGAAAGAGGGCATAGCGCAACTGAATCAATCGGAGGTACGTTAGAACCGTAACAAATTGTAAAAACTTCATTAGACGAGAATTTATACTATCGCTGCAAATATTCTCTTCATTTACAACTTTATGTTAACTTTTCAGATATCTTCATCAGATGACATCTCAAAAGATTCTAAAGTGAGTAGCAAATTGTAATTGTTATCATCTTATTGTTAGTTCAAACAGGACCTGCTTTCATCAAATCATGTTTTCTGTAGATTCCGGACAGTGTTGCGACACCCCATACAGCGTCTCCGATAAAAAGCGTCAAACTGTCGTCAAATAATTCGTTTACGACAGATGAATACCCGGAAGAATTTAAAGTTTTAAAGTCCCCTTTGGTTGAGGTTTCCTTGGATAGTTCATTAATGCTACCTCCGAACAGTGAATCTCAAACAAAAGATGCGACTCCGCCGAATGAGGCATCAAATTTTGATAAATTGGTCCCTCCGTCGGAGACGGAGCCGGAATCTGCCGGGCTTTCAAGCATGACTCACTCAGGTTCATTGAATTCGAATAATAATAACAAGGTGTGAAGGCAGAATTACTATCTATTTTTATCTACTGTGAAGTTATTGAGTCACAATTTGCAATGTCCTTTAAAAAAATCTATTATATCCTCAGCATGCAAAACATTCTAAAAAGAAGAAATCGCATCTTACAAAGAAGCACGCCCGTAAAACAAACGTAAGTGAATGCAACTGAGAAGAAACCCTTGAAATTGTAGAAACTTGCTACTGTTTTATCATAACACATTTTCCACCATCATAAAACTTCTTAATAAAGCGGAAAGTTATGAAGAAGCAATATGCAAATATCTGAGTTGGTGCAGGGGTTTCTTTCTTCATTTGCGTCTTATTCTGAATACTGTTAGATGAGGATAAAAATGTATATATCAGAAATAAAAAAATATCGTATTTATAGGATAAATCGCGCTCAAAGAAGATAGAAAAAGTGGATATTGCTGTATGCCTGCAAAAGCTAAATGAAAAAGTTGAAAAACTAACAAACAAATTAGAAGAATCGGAACAATCACGTACAAAATTTGAAGCATCAATATTGAAATCCCTCAGCACGATAGAGAGCAACTGGAAGCAGCTACAGAGTAAGTATTTTTTGTTACCTGATAATGGTGAATATTTCAGTCCCCATCCATGCTATTAAAGAAAAATATATTACTAAAAATATATGGATAACAATGGCTTTGAGAGTCTCGAACACGGTTGTTAATGCGTGTTAATAAAAATACTTTAATTTTGTGATGATGTCATTAAAAATGTCATTAAAAAAGTATTTGTAATTGTGAAAAAACTTTCAGTCATAATATTTTTGTCGTTAAAGATATTAAACGTCCTGATTTATCAGGTCAATGAAAGTAGTTTACTTCCAAAATTGTGAAACAAAATTCTTTGTACATGACTCCGTGTTATTACATAAAAAATATGTATAAAAGTAGGGGAGACCGGGGCTAAACCGCCAACGGGGTTGAACCGCCAAATCAAATATCTCGGAACCTGGTATATTGTGCGAACTCGCTATTAACATTGTAAACGCTGCTTATGGTACCCATGTGACCAACGGAGTTTCGGCAGGTTACCTATACCGTGTTATGATTTTTACGAGGGCAAACGTGTTTTCGTGGTGAAAAGTGAAATTATCTGCGCGTGGAAATTTTGTAATATCTGCAATAATATTTGCTTTCCAAATCTTGAGGTACGTGATTATAAATGCATGCTGATTATAAAGAGTAATGCATGCTGAACACGAATCCAGTGTAGATTTTTATTATTTCATGGGCGATCAAACCTGAAACTGATTTATCCCGGGGGGTGGCAGTTCAACCCCGGCATTTTTGAGATTTCAATTTTTCCACCGTTGTCGTTTTTGGTCTATACCAGTTAAACAAAGCAACATAGATAAAAATTTCCTATATAAATTTTGTTGCTAAAGGTTTACTCTTTACAGTGGTGTACCACATTTAACTAAAATTATTTATTTTGTTGTTAAAAATTGGCACCGAAAAAAAACTGGCGGTTTAACCCCGGCC